CCTCTTGCCGCCCCTTTGGACCGAGCAGCAGGCTGGCAGAAGGGTGGTCGGTGGGTGGAAAAGGGAGGAGGCAGAGGCTACACGCTTTCCCACACTCACCGGCCAACCCTCCTTCGCCACCTGTACCCTTCGCCCATCTCGCTTTACTCTACCTACCCTCTGCGACTCTCTCTCTTGCTCTTTCTCGCTCTCTCTTTACGCTCTCCTGGTTCATTCTCGCTCTACCTCACCCTCGCGCTCACCGTTACCCGCACCCTCGAGCTCACCGCCCTCGTCCTCTTCCCTTCGCTCGACACAGCCGCCACTCATTATAGTTCCCACCACTACCAACCCTCAACCTCCGCCACCTCCTTTTCCACCTCCACCAACATCGACAACCGTCAGACTTGCATCCCTTTTCCGCTCACGCACTTGGCTGGCTTCTTCAATCTTTTCGCAGGTCACTGCTACCTACGATATTCTTCGACGTTCCACGCTCTCCTTCGCCTTCGTCGTCGTCGTCGTCGTCGTCGTCGTCGTCGTTGTCTTCGTCTTTGTTGCTTTTCTCCGATTAGCGATATTCTTTCCCGATCGGCAGATTACCGAAGTCGTCTCGTCCGAGAGACGCCGATCGAAAGCGTGATCGATCAACAACGTTCTCTTCGAATCGTTTAATTTCTGACCGATGTACTTTTACGACTTCGACTTTATCCCTTTTTGGAAAATTCGCGTACTCGTCCCACTGTTCCTCGTTCGTTTCCGAATCGCTTCCTACTGTTCGCTTATAATCTACGAGCCGATGGATCGTCCAGAGTCTCGAGCGATTGCCTACGAACAAGAGTCGCGAACGTTTCGAAACGTTCCTACGAAGAGAAAAGTTTCGCGAACGAAAACTTGGCTCGAGTAGAGGGAAGCGCGTAACGCGAACGGAGGACGTACAACGTGATCTCGAACGAGAGAGGCGAAAACCGAAACTCTAGTTCTCCGGTTAACGAGCATCGAACGGTCGAAACTTTCTTTCCGCTTCGTTACATCGGCAAAGTCGTCGCGAGGCAAAAGTCGATGATCGCGATCGACCGATAATTTCGTTCGTTCTCGGTTTCCTCTTTTATTTCCGTGTCGAAGTGGCCCGTAAGCGAAACGAAGTCGAAGATGGTCGAGTTAAGTCGCGAAACGTTCCTCGAACGTCTATTCGATCGGTGCTCGATCTCGCGATCACGGTCGCAGTCGCGAAACGCGGTCCAAGTGGTTCGAGGGTGCGGAAAGCGAAACCGTCGACTTCTCGACTTCTCGAGTGGTCGAACAGCGAGGAGAAAACGTGGGCCGCGTCGGCTCGTTCGATTGTTACGACCACGAAAAGTTTCCCCGGTCACGTTTAACTTTCGCGCCGTTCGAAATAGCCCGTCGCGCGAATTGGGTCACCGACCGGTCGACTCTCATCCCCTGATGCCGGCTCTCCCACCGTCCCGCTCTGGCTCACGATCGTTCTTCTTCCTCCTCCTCCTCTCTCTTCGTCGCTCTTCGCCTCTCTTCGTTTCACATCGGCGATCAAACTTTTTTATTCGCGGACAACGTTCCTTCGAGCGTCGCGGGTTACATCGATCGCGCAACAAGCGCAATCTTCTCCGACGTTCGCAAAAGATTGCGTGCCGTTCGAATCTCGCGCTTAAGACGATCCAGGGATTTTCGAAATCTCTTCTCTCGAATTTTCTTTCTCTCACGCTCCAAAACAACGAGGTATGGTCTAAGCGAGATCACCTTTTCGCGCTCGCGCGACAGATCGTATTAAGCGGTACGAAGGGCGAGCGCGAAGTCGACGACGAGACAACGTTTCTTCTCTGTTCCGACGCGACGAGAGACGCTTCGTTGGCCAAGTGTCCAGCGATCGATCCGATCGAGTCGATCGTTCGTCGAGCGAGCGCCCAAGCACGCGTAGATGTTCGATCGAACAGTTTTACTACTAACGTACGGTGTTGTTCGTCGCGACGTAGCCGGAGAAGAAAAACGAACTTCACAAAGGACTGTCGTTGCCGTGGCCGGTTATCGCGACCGTACCGTTCGCTACGACGAACGCGTCAACAACAACAACGACGACGAGTAGAGCAACGGCTGTTCTCGGCACAGACACCTCGCGACGCTACGCTACGCGACGGAAAGACGTTCGCGCGGCGAAATCAAACTACGGACGGGAGGCGCGTC